GGGGGAGAACATTGCAGCACCCATAAGGTAGAGATAAATTATTAATTTCATTCAGTAATCAGTCTAATTCACTTTCATAATTATGAAGAGAAGGGGCTTCCACATTTATTCTGCCAGGATCTGAGATATGAAGCGTTTAATTCTAACTGGAGGTTGTGGAATGTGTGGAGGAGGACTTACACCTTCATCTCTTTGTTTTTGGGGTATCCGTTTCAGAATCCCTTGAATATTTTAGCTGTCAGTTGTTCCCATGCATGTTATAATGATGGAGGGGGGGAAACTTGACCTCTCTGCTCCTCAGTGCTTAGGTAACCAGTAGATACTGACAGGAATCTCACTGGTGTTTATTTCATGTGCTGTTGAACAAAGTAATATCGAGTAATGCTGTAAAACTTCTTGGTCAGCACTGGAAGTACTGTTGGTTCTTTAATAACTCTCTGCAGGGCACTTCTGCGTCAGAAGATATTTAGATAAAACACGTTTCTCTCTGTATAGCTTAATCTCCTAATTTTGCTGCTTAGGTCCCCGATCTGCTAGGAAGAGTTGCTGGATAGACAGTTTAAGGACTGAGCCATGACATAGTAGTAGAAGTCTTGAGTATGTTGATTGCTCAATGGCAAAACTCCTTTTTCTTCTGGTACGCTAGAAGGAGCTGCTGTTCTGCTGTGTGTCTGCTCCTTAGCACTCTAGATTGTAAATGTTAAAGACAGTTGTATTGGTCAAGTCCCAACCTGTATAAGACAATTTACACGTGTATAATTCCCATATCAAACTCCAAGAGCATTGACTCAATAGGGCATACGTTCTAGAAAAGCTTAGTTGTTACTATTTGTTGATATGTGTGCATTTGTGAAGAATTTCAGTAGGGCCATTTTCAGGTTTGAGCTTGGTTTGAATCCTGTGCATAGACACTCTGGATATCTTGCTTTTGAGTAGACTTTTTCTTATCATACTGTCCTCTTTGAATTTGGGGCTTTGACTCATAACACATTCGGCTAAATGTTAAACTAGAGACACAGACATCAGAAAATTGAAGATTTAATGGCTTTGTAATATAGCTGGGGAGTACTCTAGAATAGTAAGAAAGTTATATCAAAATAACATTGACATTTGATGACTGTTAAGTATTTGTGTTCAAATAAATGCATTCTTGTTTCTATCTGAGCAGGTTTAATACTAGCCCTTTTGGTTTTGAGGATGTGCTTACTGAGATTCAGGGGATCCTACAGGGTACGTGCAGTTCTGCAGCATGTGATGTGAGGCTGTGTGAACACGCAGAGTCAAGAATTCACTAGACCTGCTGGACTCTTTCCAGTGTTTTCCTGGAAACATTTCTTAGAAGAGAAGATGAATGTTAAAGGATGGATGAATCTGGATTTAAAACCTCAGACTTCTTCCTAACCCTTAAAAAAATCCATTCCATTTAACATGCTTCTGCAGGTCAGTTTAAGTTATCATCTACATGTTTTATGTATCTTTTACTGTACAGTACAAAAATTGTTAACAATGGCTAGATAGTAATTTTGGAGAGAATTAAGGGAATGATTTCTGGCTACATCTCTCAGAAAAAAACAGTTGTGCTTATTTAATGGGATATCTTAATTGACTTTTTCAGTATGTGCAGCATCCAACAATGAGCCTCGGTATCAAGATTTCTTTTTTGAACGCACTGTGCTGAGGACAGCAAGCATCTCACAGGAGATGCTGTTGCTCAACCTGTATGTAAACCGTATAAACGTTACATTTTAAATCCGACATTATTTTTGTCCTTTTCTTACCTCAAATGTTTTGTCTTGACTTCAAGTGAAGCTGAGAGTGAAGGGATTGGAGTAGGGAATTCTGGGTCCAGGTTCTGGCGCTGCTGCTAGTCTGCTGTGAGACTGCTTTGCTGGTATTTGTTCCTTTTGCCTGGACTTGCACAGTGCCTCTGCAGAACTTTCCCACTTCCAATATAGTTTCATTTTAATACGCTAATACATGTAAAACATTTTGAGGCCCTGGGATAGGAAGTAGAGTTGGAATACAAAGAAGCAGTTAATGGAATTGAACTGGATGAGGTTGAAATTTCTGGAGAAAAAACTGAAACTCAGTCTTACATTAACACAGATGAAAAATGAGAAGCTTAAAAATGCTGCTGGATCTCGTTTGCTGCCTTCTCTGTAGTTCAGCGATAATGTTTACTGAAGTTCAAGTACACTTCGGGATCGTTACCCCAAAAGATATGAAGTGGCAACACAATTGGAGGCCTTTCAGCATTTCTGACTCAGAGCTCACTCTGTATCACTTTCAGACTCCCACAGAAAAGTTCTTATCTTACATCTCTGTACTTTTTATGCTGCTGCTTCCATAGGAGTAGCTTTATCTGACATAGTTGTGTTCTTAAACAATTGTGTGGAGGTAGAAGTAATGGAGGAGTTTGGAAAAGACAAGTGAAACCGAACAGATCCAGTGTTTCACATTATAATAAAAGCACAAGATCTGAGAAATCTAGAGTGAAAATTTTCCCTTTTGCATGTGTTTCACAGTATACTCCTTTATTTGGATTTCTGTAACTCCCTCAAAAGCCACAGCTGAGTCTGCAAAATACTGGACCTACAGTTCACAAAAGATGACATTTAACTTAGCATGCAATCTTAACAGACTGAACTCAGAAAACAAAGTCTAGAGGTACTGCATGATTAACAAGAAATAAATTCTAGTAAAATAGGTAGGTAGTTTCCTTTGGGGAAGAATCATTGTTCTTAGATTTTCAGTTTTCTCCTGCATCTTCAGCAAGCATTATGTCAGGGAGTAACCTTGGCAAGATTTCATCTAGCTCATGAAAATAATGTGTAGATTTTCCAGAACCAGGGTAGTGATGGGGAAAAAACAAGATGGGATCTTCTGTCAACAGGAGCTTCTCATGCCTTCTGGTATTTTACGAAGTTTCCGGTATGGGATACATTCATGCAGGCAAGGAGTGGTTCAGTGTAGGAATGTTATCTCCGATCATACAATTTTCTTTACGGGAGACAGTCTGTGTCAAGACTAAGATAAATAAAGAACTCTGGCAGCTTTCATGCAACAGCTAAGCAGCCTGTCCTGTTAAGAAAAACAGTTCCCTTCAGATGATCTCTGTAATGTTCATGGCCCATTGACTCTTCCAAAGTAAAGAATCAGATTTTAAAATGTGTCCTATTTTGGATGTTGTTTGTGGATTTTTAGCTGAGTGGTTGATTGCATGAGAAGCTGCTCTTGGCTTTCAGGTAGCTCCCCTCTTTTGCTAGTAACAGCTTTTTTTTCTGGCAAATGCAGCCAGATCAGCCCCTTTTCTCCCAGTTGTGACTAGCTGCAGACTTTTGGCTCTGTAGGCCCAGATGCACTGACAAGATAGAATGTCAGCTAATGGATAATGAGCGCACTCTGCAGCTAGTTCCCACCGGCAAATTACAAAAGAGTCTGAAGAATATGAAATAATAGTGTGAGAGAGGCACCTTTCCCCTCCAGGGGAACATTAGATAATCAGCTTTAGTGTCCACAAGAGCTGCTTTGGAATAGACCTTGCCCATACTTATAGCACCATATATATAGTGGAGAAAATGAGGATAGGAAAGCTTCAGTTTTCCTTATCATTATTTATAATTTCTTATTTTAGCTTCAAATTAATTAATATGAACTTTATAGCATAACATGAGCAAATTGTTGATCTTCTGATCATGTTGATGATACCTGTATCTCACGCCTACTTTCATCCCTTCAGTGTGTTTTTACACTGCAATACTTTTCATTCTGCTAGTTGATGGCTTCGTGGTGCAGGAAGAGGGTCTCAGTAGCATTTCTCTTGTTTCTTGTTTGGTAGCAAGTTTGACAACGGCTTTGCAGCTAGCTACATAAGGCTTCGTGGCACATTTTAGAAACAAAACCAATAGAGCAGTTAGACCAAATGGTCCGTATAGAGCAAATTCCTAGTAATCAGTTGAGTTTCTGTGTCATGTAGAGCTGTTTCCTTTGCAAAGTGGAGTGATGTGACCATTTCTGTGTCTTAAGCATATGGATATAGAAATTAATTAAAATGCTGGGGATGTCCTTCCTACTTCTTTGAGATCTTCAGGCACTGAGTGCTTGTGAGACTCCCAAGGACATCTTGGCTTGACCACATCCTTTTGCATTAAGGTTTAGGCAGATTTTTCCATCTCTGCAGTTTAACACAGCTGTGTTGAGTCACGTACTCCCACTTACGATTTGTGCTGTGACAGAATTGATTTGATTTGCTATGTGCCAGTTATACTGGACTTCATGATGAGAAGGATGATAATGATTTGTATTTTGATTAACATACCTGAAAGATCATTTGTATTTGTGAAATGAACATAAACAGATGCGTTTGATTTTCCATCCTCTTTTACCTTAGAATGATTGCTGCCAGACTTTCTCCCACTCCAGATATAGCAGCATTGAACAAGCACTTTTTAAAAAAATACTCCATTCATTTCATTATGGGAGAATGATTTTATATTTCTTTATATGTTTATTTTAATTTGAAAAGGCTGACAAAAACTCCTTAAGATTGTTAGAAAATAAGTGAAATAAGTGATGGTTAAGAAGTTCTTGTTCTTTTTGTTGTGATCCTTCTGTTTTGCTTCTGGAGTTTGCAGCTATGTCAGGGTATGCAACGGAAGAGAACAAGTTAAAAACAACTTGTGAAAAGCTACTTCAGTTGAAGTAGCTGAGCACAGCTGATGGCTCTGTAAACAGTTCTATGCAGAAAAAAAATCTTGTTATATGATGATTTAGTATATTTCTTCTTTGTTTTTCCTCACCTTGGTGTTCTTACGGTACCCAGAGTCCTCTAATTTTTTTTTACTGGCAGCCAGAAGTGGCAGAGCAATATTCCAGGTCAGTTCCCTGCTACTCTGGACTTACGGTTGGGGAATATAACACAGATTACAAAAATAGATTTCACTGAGGTGGTATCGCCATTTAGAGACAATGAAATGAAATTGTGAATCCCAGCTGAAAAGGTAGTCCAGTTGCACTGAACTTTGAAAATACTAAGGTGAAAGAAGCCTTAGCAGCAGGAAGTGGTAGAGATCACAGTATGCTTGGAGATGCAAGGTAATGTTCCTGCCCACTACCTAAGCAAGCTTCTGTGGTTTATACTATAAAGAAGCCCCATAGTTCCAGCTAGGGGCACAGCAGCCACTTGCCCACATCATTGAAAGGTTCAGTAATACTAAGGAAGAGAGGAAAATACTCCTGGCAGTTGTCTTTATGAGGTTTTATCTTTCTGGACAGTGGTTGGAAATAAATGCTACTAATTATGGCAAGGCCTGTGTAGTTTTGTGTGAAAGACTAAGTTGGTACTGAGTGAATAATTGCCTTGAAAAAAAGGCTCTTGAGAATGAACTGAGAAAGTACAAAGGATCATAGAATTGTAGGATCAAAGGATGGAGAAAAATAAAAGAAAACTGCCTTGGAGATCAAAACGTGTGAGAATAAAGTATATGTTGCCAAAACTCGTGCTGAGTTAGACTTTGCAAAGGAAATGAAAGCAAACAACTGTACTCCTTAAGCATGTAAGTAAAAGCAAGGTAAGGGAAAACAGAAGAGGGTCTGCGGCGGAGATTGGGCCAACATAAAATGCAATCTTACATGTAGTCAGGCAATCAAATGAATACTTGGCCTCCACTTTCAGTAGGGACAATGGCATTGGACATGGGAACAAAAGAAGTCCGTGTGCAGGAAGATGTCAATATGGAAATCAACTCAATGGAGCTGGAAGAAAAATTTAGATGCTACTGTACTCTAATGAGTGAAAATAAAAGTCGTCCAGATAGTCTTTGGAAGAGTAGAAGAATTGTACAATGAAATTGTGAGCTTTGCGGTAACAATTTCTGATTAAATCAAGCTGTCTTCATGTACCTTGACTATCTAAATCAGGTAGTACTGGGTGACCACTGGGTGACAGAAGTGTGACCTGCAGATAAACAATTAAAAAGAAAAGAAAAAAAGGCTATCTGAACAAGTACATAGCAGTTAATCTAACCGGTAGATAAAACACCTTCTTTGAAAGAGTAACTAAAGACTCCTAGTTCTGCAAGTGAAATCCTTTGACCTTGTGAAGGTAAGTGGTATAGAATGTGACATGGATTTACCAAAGACCGTGCTGGACTAACTTGACGGCTTTTATCGATGAAGTAACAGATTACCTCCATAGAGGAAATTAAGTGTATTTGAACAGTCTGGACTTCAGTAAAACACCTGAAGGCTGCACCATGGAAATAATTATTTAAACTGGATAAAATAAGGCAGTAGTACGTGAAATGTCAAGTAGCTAAGAAGCCAACTTAAATAAGAGATTAGAGACTTTATTGTAAAACGAGATAATGGGGTTAGAAGTCACCTACAGACTGTGAAGTTTCAAAATATATTATCTGAGAACTGATCTTTGTAATACTAAGGTTACTGGCAAAAAAAAAAAGAAAAAATCTGCTAATAAAATTCATTGCTGAGGCAGCATTTCAAACCTTCATCAATGCAGAGGAGGATAGGCATGTCATACACTAAGAGCTGCAACGTGTTGCGGACTGTAATATTAAAAATAGAAATCTAATAGTAGAAAGCACCAGGTCATGCACTAATAAAGTGTTGAGAATTTTGGCTACCAGCAAGGTGCTTATCAGTTGAAAGCAGAGAAGGAGAAAGATCTGAATATCAGTCAGTAAATGAAAGCCACCAGTACTATGTGGCATATAAATAGGCAAGTGTGTTCTCAGTGTGTATCGGATGAGAGATTTCTGGCAGAGTTGTATGTTCCACTCATAAGGCCTCATCTTGAAAGCTGTGCTCAGTTCCAATCACGCAGGTTCTGGAAAGATTAATCCCAACAGGGACAGGTGCAGAGATGATCAGTGCACTGAAGAGCTTATCTCAAGAGAGGAAGGCTTGGCTTGTTTTAGTAAAGCAAAACAGAAGCTATGAAAGATTGAGCTCTGTAAATAATACTGGCTAAGAGTAAACAATGGCACGGTATGTAAGATAGAATACTAGAATTTTAAAAATAAATGGATGAATGCTGGTTAGAATTTAATTTACTGAGAGAATGAAGCTCCTATATGGTTTTCTCCAACTGCCTGATTCAGATGTCTTTGCAACTTTCTGAGAGTCACGGTATTTGTGCTTGCAAACATCTCACCTAGATATTTTTCCTTCAGTTCATTTCATAAAAAAAAATCATGTCTATAAAAAGTTTCAAAACTTGCTCCAAGTGGGCCCTTTTCATTACCTCCCTCCCTCGTCTTTAAAGAGTAGTAATATTTTGTTGCTCCCTAACTCTGTAGACTTCCCTTGACTGATAACAATTTTAACATGCCCCGTGGCATTCCTACATCATCTCAGAATATATCCAGTCTGCGGCCAGACCTACCCAATGATGCCTACTTCATAGATTTCACTGCAGCTCTAGTTTTTTGCGCCTAAAAGTCCATATTGCCTCTCAACTCGGATATTTAACATTCTTTTAGGCATCTATTAGCCAAAACCATTAAGATTTCCCTTTTGCAGTCTGGCTCCCCAGCATGTTCTGCCGGTAGTGGCGAACAGGATGACACCAGGTATTCTCTCGCTTTATTTACCTTCCTCTGCCTCATGCCCTTTTGCTCCCAGATGCTCAATTTTCCTAAAAGATTACATTTCTGACTGTTGCATTTATTGTTTATTCACTGACTTATTCTTTAGGTTCTAATGTGAATGGGCTGGAAGAGCCCAGCCTTGCTAAGCGGCTGCGTGGCACACCTGAGCGGATCGAGCTGGAGAACTACCGACTCTCACTGCAGCGGGAAGAAGAACTGGAAGAGGTTCCTGAAGAGACGCTGGCGGAGCATAACCTGAGCAGTGTGTTGGACAAAGGAACAGAAGAGGATGTGCCCAGCAGGTTAGCACACATTGCCCGAAAGCTTTTTTTAATACCCATCCTGGACAGACATTTTTGCATGGCTTTCCCTTAGCTTTTTTAAACATATTATTTACTGAGTCGCCCTGTCTGAAGTTGTTGAAAATATTCTGTATGTGTACACAGGTATTTTATCTTGTGGTTTCTGTTCTTCTAAATAGCTTACTACCTATAGAAGATACCTATAGTACCATCATACCATGAAAGTCAGTCCTCAGTTGGAAGGGATTTAAATTTTTAAATTGTGTCAAAGATAAATGAATCTTTTGAACAAACAACATGAATTCAAATGAGAGGGGGTTCCAAAGCTAAATTATCTTCTGTATGTTTTGCATTACAATTAAAAAACACTTTTGGTTTAAAGGTTCAGACCTGATTCAGACTTGGCACATGTATAATCCAAACTAAATGCTGATATAATGCCTGTGAGAGATTAATTTGAAGCAATTGTTATGGGTTTTGGAAAAACATGTTGTACCTTCACAAATTTCTCTATTTACAAAATTATATATGTGCACACCAAGGTCCAAATATAATCAGGAATAGCTACTGGAAGTACTTGTTGCAAGAATTGCTGAGAGGAAACACTCGATGAAGGACACTTGTGAACTTTTTATAGTCAATCATGTACTCATTGCTGAGTCTCAATCTCCTAATACGGTTTCTAATTATCTACTTTTCTTTGTAGCAATAACAACCCTTACCTTTTCAGCTCTCAGTCTGGCCAGTAGTCTTCTTGAAATAACCTCAGAAAATGCTGGTATTGGTTTTCTGAGACTTAGATGTTACAAATGCGTTCTTTATATGCATTGCGTACAGTTATAGGGCTGTGTGAGAAATACCATACTACATTTATGTTAAATTCAATTGGATTGTTGTGGTGAAGAATGCAGGAATACAAATGTTCATTAAAACGCTTGCAAGATTAATGTAGTACAGAATCTGTCACTTGTTTAGCTGATAAAACCAGTTTGAAGATGCAAACATCTGGAGAGGAATAACTTTTAGCTTGTGCTCAGCCTTGAATGTGTGTCTTGTGTAAGTGCCTGGCAATTACTAATATTTAGTACAGATGCTTTCTCTGAACCATAAGTAATTTGATTAATTTTTTTGCATATTAATTTCTATAGAATATACTATTTTGACATTTTACATAATTGATATCTTATCTCTGAATCTCAGTGCTCTAAATAATCTTGGGACTATTTGTGGAAGATGTGAACTCTACTTTAATCGTCCTTCCTTTAGCTCCTTGTCAAGCCTAGGAATTATATCAGCTGCAACAATATAGGCATTAATGATATTGGTTCTTTATATTTCTAGCTCTAACCATAATTTACTAGTATGGAGCATTATGATCATTAGTAGTAGTCTTTGATTTCAGTAAATCAGGACACAGTAGGCATGCTCAGTAAATGGCAGTAAACTTCCAAAGGAGAAGAGTTAGTTAGAAAAAAAGTAGAGTTTTGTCATTCTGATGTGAAACTGTTTGTCATCTCCCAGAGGTGTTTTGTGAGATTGTGGAGACTGAGGGCAGTACATTATTAGGTTTGTGAACTTGATATCCTCTCATAGAGTGTTAGATGTAGCTTCCTTCATTCTACATAAATTCCTGTAGTCTGTATTAAACTGAGTAATTCTGCCTGTAATAGAATTATATAATTTTACATGTAAAAAGCAGTGTTTAAGTGTGCAACTCACAATCTATGATAGAGAGGAAAGATGAAATATGTAATATTCTTTGTAAGTTTGACCTGGAAAAATTTCTGTCCCAAATCCGAATATGACACGCAGAGCATTGATAAGGATATGCGGGCCAAACTTCAGAGAGAGAATTTTCTAGATGATGTAGCTCTCAGGTCTCCTGTGTTCAGCTCTACCCACTCCATGTAAGGTCACAGAAAGATGAGAGGGGAAAAAAAGACCACTTTTTCAGCAACAAAAGAAAAGAAGTTTGAGTCCTGCAACAAGCCAGCCAAGGCCCTCATTTGATCATTTTCACTGTCTTGGTGGAGCGCCGCAGGGTTGGGAGCAGGCAGAGGAGATGGGGAACTCGTTGTTCCCTCCATGCCTTAGAGAATGATGGATGTGGCTTCAAGGTTCACTGAGGAGTCGACTCTGAATCAAGCAGAGACCGTGCATTTTGGTGCACAGCTTCCCATCACACACACGCACACTGCAAAGAAAGTTTACAAAAACCAGCATTCGAATGATATTTTTTCAAAAGAGAGTTTATCTTGTTTAAGTTTCAACAAGCAAAAGAGTCATTTAAGCACAGTTTTGAGGGACGGAAAACCCTTTGGATGCCATATTCATGCCCTCTAACTTGCAGTAACTCCCAGTATGTCACCCGCAGTTGTGCTATAATACCCTGTGGCCTTTCAGAGGAGCGTCATAGGACAGCTTGTGTTGTGAGGGTCTGCATGGCAAGGGAAGAGGTTCATTTCCACAGCTTAGGTTTCGGTTCCCCTCCTCAGCACTAAATCTATGTGGGTGCACCTTTTTAATGAGATACTCAGCTGCGTATGCAAATTCTGTGAAGCAATCTACTTTGGTCTTTGATCTCTGCTTTATAAAACAAAGTTTCAGCTGTTGAATTAATTCCTGTGGCACAGAGTTGCCCTGCTGAAAGGAACGCCCACTATACCAGGCCATCTCCCTGCTGTCTTTCAGCTTCCCATTTCTCAGTATTCAAAGGTCAAACAAAACCCAAGTTATAAATAAAAGCCAAAGAAGGTAAAGTGAGCTATGTGGTAAAGAATTTATGTCATCAGTATTACATGCGATAAGCTGGCTGGTTGAAGAGCAGCAGCTCGTCCCATTCAGCAGTCATGGTAACAGTTTGAGCAGCAGTAAACCTTACTGACAGCACATAAAAACCCCAGCATGCTGCACCTGTCAGCTTTATTTCCATACCAAAGGATGGGAAAGTTAATCAGGGAGGAGAGAAATATCGCTTTTTATCTCTGTGACAATACCTGTGTTAAAGCCTTCGGTCCTCTAGAATATGGACTGAGTCCATGGCATGCGACAATATTTGTATTCAGTATTTAGCATTCGAAAACCAGGCAAACTGTTAAGAATAAGTGTTCAGTTTAAGCTGTGAAAAAGTGGGTTGCAATTTGGGCAAAATAATGTTACATACCCACAGAACAGTGAGGAGGAGCCTATGGACAAAAGTATGTGACAATCAGAGCATGAAAAAAGTAGTATTATTAGCTTTGCTATCAAAAATAGTCTCTCAGACAAGTAGATGAATAAAATCATGCAAATGTGCTATGTTAGTGTAGTGTTAGACTAATTTTGAAGTCCTGCATCGGAGTACATTTATCCGCAATATCAGAGAAAGAGTATTTTTGGAAACACAGTGTGTCACATACTGTAATAAAACCTGTGGATGGGAAACAATTAAAACTGTATGAGTTATGTTTTATAGATCTACATGAAATTTAAACTCTTGTTTTCAACTTGTTGGTGTTTCTCTCATCGTGTATGTGGAATGGGTTCTGCTGAAGGCTGTTAACTACAGTCGTAGCTGTCTTAAGGAAACAGCAGAGGTGGAATACTATTCTTAGATTATTCACCCAAACTTAGACCTTTTACAAACAGTTTTCTCCTTCAATTCACGTGAATTTGGGCCTTTTAAGATTTATACAGGAAGCAGCCCAGCATCCCACTGTTACTCTAATGAATGCAGCTCTTTCATGCCAGTGATCTGTTGGGAGAAAACAAAGGAAGTACACTGTGAATTTAATCGGATATATATTATAGTTTTGTCTGTGATGTAGAAAAGTAAGGAATTTAGTAATTTTATTTTTACTCCAACTCTGCTTAGCTACATGCTGTATCCTCTGGCTTGATAGTTGTGTTCTGTGTTCTCTCTACTCCCAAAGCCCTCAGTGGTTCACCGCACCGAGTGCCAAAAAAATCTTAGCTATCCAAAATGCTAGCACTGGCTGCCATTATCAGAAGATGTGACCTTCTACATTCTAACACTGCTAAGAACTCTTCCACCAGTTTATCCAAAGGAATGTGGTGTAAAGAAAGTAGTTTCTTTCTGCTGTATTCAACTGTCACGAACTTTTAACAGTTAATGCTGCACAAATATTTGGGCTTGGTTTCACAGGCACTTCTGCTGCTTCACCTTCTTTAAAAGAAGCAGCACAAGGACCATGCTGCAACTCACACACGATGCTGTCACTAAAATGCCTATGAAATACTGAAAGCTGAAAGTTTCCATTATATGTGTTGAGCTTATGTGTGCTGAAACAACTTGTCAGTAATCTAAGACTGATCTGAGAAACAGTAACTAATTGTTTCTTTATCTTTTTTTTCTGAACCCTTATAGTAGTTCAGAGTCTGAGATGGAGGAGGAAGATGAGGAGGAAGAAGATGAACTACTGCTGCCTCAGCAACCTCCTTCAGACTTGGGTGGTGTGCCATGGAAAGAAGCTGTGCGTATCCATGCCCTCCTGAAGGGAAAAAGTGAAGAAGAGATTGAGGCTGAGGAAAACCATGTGATTGGGGACAAAGACGAGGAGGAGGAGGAGGAAGAAGAAGAGGAGGAAGATGAGGAGTCGAGCGAAGGTTAGACTGGTTTGTCTGTCCTTTCTGCTAGACAGAGTTGAGTATTTGCCATGCAGAATGAGAAAGATTTGCCATGGAAAACTCTTCCTCTTCTTTCACTTCTTTATTGCTTTGATTTTTGAGGGAGCTATTGTCAAGGAAAGCTTTAGGTGGATCATTCTGGATACAGAAGATCTTTGCCCACAGGGCAGTTACAGCACTAGTACCAACACAATATGCTTCCCATACACCATGCCAACATGTGCGATTCACAGCTTTGTGACACTGTATTGTTTTGTTGTTCTTTTTTATTTTTATTGGGAATTGGATTTGAATGTGCCCTTTGTTCTTTGGCAGCAAGAGCTGCAAGCATTATGGAGGCAGTCCTTTCAGTTTTGCAGAGTGCCTCATTAAGGGATGGTGCTCTGTCAAAAGAAGCTGCTTGTAGCTCTCCTTAGTTAAAAGACAACCTTGAGAAGTCAGGGAGTTCAGGTGGGTTTCCATTTTAGCTCTGAGGGAT